AATTTTTTTTTTTTTTTTTTTTTGAGTTTGACGCTTGTCTAATTACTCCGTAAACGTCCTCTTGACATTGATTTTTAACTAATCAAAAACCAGTTTCTTATAATCCATTTATTCGAAAGTTAACAGATAGGCCTGCGTTTTACGTATTAATAAGGAATTAAGAGGAAAGACAAATGAGAGGTAAATATATCGTGATTGCATTATCATTTTTAAACTGTAAGAGCCAAAGAACTTTAGTGTGTTGTATGTCTGCCAAAAGCTTATTAGCTTGTATTCTTCTGAAGAATATTTAACTTTTTAACAGTATTTTGTTATCTCGAATAAGACTATTTTACATTTAGCACATTAATCACGGTTAAAACATTAATCATTTTTGGTTAAACAATGAGTTAAATCACCTCGACTAAACCTGAAGCGAGTCATGATATGAATAGATTTTTTTTTTTTTTACTACGATTTGTGTAATTAACACTATGCCCCGTAAATAATTTTTCTATATCCGTTTATGTTGAATTAATTTAAATACTATGGATGGGTTGCTCTCAAAGTATCACTTCTTAAGAGAAATTAAATATTTTTACATTTTCAATATACGAGATTTATAATATAAATTTAAGTTTTTGATGCAGCAAAGTAAATTCAACAATTGCGAACTGATGAGAATACATTATTAAACTGAATTATTTCTCAACATAGCCTAAGTTAATACAGGATATTGCTTTATATTCTATTTTAATAAGCCTATTAATTTAGTTTGAAAGTCGCTATGTAAACTCGGTGTCTAATTATTAGTTTTAAAAAAGGGGTTGAGCGTAAATTCAACAATTTCTCGACTATCTGAAAATGTAAAATAATAGTACTAAGGGTTACATTTGAGAAATTGAGAATTTGCTACTATAGTGGTTTTAAAGAGGTGGGTGGGTAATCTAAACTGTGCTCAACAAAACATCAGGTGATCTATCATTAGATTTTTGTTCCACAACAAGCTACAGACGAGTCGGACGTGAGGCTGTCAGCGTCTTCTTGTATGCTAATAGCGATAACCACACCGATTAGAGCATACAGGAGGGTACAAGTGGGTGAGATGAGATATGATTGGACCAAACTGAAGAGAAGGTAATTGCTGGGTACCACAACTAAAGGACGCTACGTAATATTGATAGCTTTTCCCAACTACTTAAGATAACAATATCAGGAATTCCCATTAAAAACGTAGACTGTAAAACAACAAAGCCAGTCACGGCCGGAGAAGGTGTCCGCGATACCGGGTCACGGAGGTCAAGTGGGTCCGGACCACGTGATAGCGATCCCCTGCTTTTATTCCTATTAGGAATCAACGCTTCATCCCATGCCAATAATATCATTCTGTTCGATTTTTGATGGCAAAATTTATGAAGTCGATCGAGCTTATATCCTCTCTCACATATCGGTTAAAGGGTGTCGTACTTTCAAAAATCTCACTTCTCGCCGAATAATTCTACGCCGTTTGGGTGTATAATTACACTCGAAGCAGAGATAAATAGGGAGGGAGCTAAATACTTACTAGATGTCAAACACACCTCATTAATAGACCTTATCCATATTAAGTGTTTAATTCTGAATAAATTTAAATGTAATTATATCGCACGCTGTTTAAGACACGATAAATCGAATGAATTAAACGGTTTGCAATAAATTATTATTCAACGACTTAATAGAGGCTTATAATTTTTCAAACATTAGCCAACAAAAAACTAATAGCAATCCATAATCAATTAAAATCAAAACATGCAACTATTTGCAGATGTTCACAAAAAAATTTATCATGTCCTATTTACAACTAGGACAATTCAAATATATTTATATAAACAATTTCTGTTCATTAATATACGAAAATTATTTGCAGATAATTCGAAGAAAATACTTCAAGATGCTTCATTGATTTCGGGATGCGAATTTTTCATTACTCAAATAGCATGTGAAAACAAATATTTTAATATACAACAATTAAATATAAATATGCTTACTACAATATTACGTTAAGGTCACACATAATTGAAGAAAGTTTTGACTTTATTTTCGTAATGAAACTCGCAAAATCGACGAGTTGAAAAACTTAGCTTATTATTATAATACATCTCCATTATGCGGTTAGTTTTTGAGTTCGTTCATCGTTAAGATATATCATTTTGAAAAAGGAATTTTCAAAAAATCCAATACTAGATGATGGCTTTAAGTTTCATATTCATTATAGAAAATAATTTAATTTTTATGAGAAGGCGTAAGGAAATAAGAAAGCGACATGGATTTTTGTATAAACGTGTGCACAAGCTACACAATTTGAGAACCTTTATTGTTATAGCATAGTTATACTTATTAATAATTGATGATTTATTATGATATTCTGATGGGTTTGTTGTACGTTTAAGCCTGCCTCTCGGAACGGATGACCGACTCTATCCCGGCAAGATGGTGGTGCGGTTCTGGGGAGAAGCAAGGCTCAGCAGCTAGCGGACTGTGGTGGGACATTGCCGGTGACAGAAGTGGGGAACACCGGCCGTCGCCCGTTTGTGCCGGTGAGGGGTTTTGTAATTTATATAATCATTGAGAAGGGGACGGGCATAGAGGCAGGCGCCCTTTAAAATATAAAAGCATGATACTAGTCATTTATCTCTGCATGAATGTTTTTATTGTATGATCTGCTGCATGCTCTAAGTTTACCTTAAGTTGGCTTAGTAAGACTTTAAACTATATAGGATGCCATTTAGGATAGTTTCTTCTTAATAGCAGAAATGTTATAAATAAAACTGGTTTTCGGTAAAGGTATGCCAACTCTACTATTTATCTGCCTGTAAAAGTTTGACCTCTCCGAATTTACGATTCATTGTACGCAAACTCAGTCGTTTTGGTTGAAAGTTTTCCGAATGAAATTAGTCATTTTGAATTTGGTCGAGAATTCGCCAAGAAAACTCGATCTTCTAAATTTTTTTTTTTAAAAACGTTATCGCAATTTTCTTAATGTTTCCATTAAAATATATAAAATATTTGATCGTTTTCCACATTTAAATGTTATGAAAAGCTGAAAACGTGTTCGTTAATTTACACTTTATTCAAATTTTGATAGAAATTCATTATATTAGTCAGTTCTTTAATATTCTCGAAGCGTTTATCCTTTCGAAAATGAGCATCTGGTTTAGAAAAACCAGCTGTTTAAAACTTTTGCATCGGTTCATGCAAGACAATTTTCTCATTTTAGTTATAAAGCCTACAAAAACCGTTGAAAATGCTATTGTAAGCATGTCAGGTAGGCCCTATTTATAACAAAATTACATCATCGATTTTTTTTTGGTCAACTAAAAGTCATTTCCAACATTAATATATAAAAAAAAAAATATATTTATTTTTCAAACAGAAATATAGAATTTTATAAGCATGTATAGACTTATATATTCACAGTATAAATTGCTTAAGACTGCAAAATTCAATTAGCATTTATTTGCATTTACTTCAGAATTAAAATTTGATAGAATAAGATAAAAAATAGAATTTAAAAAAAATATATATATATTTTACAAATAGACAAAACATTATAAATAACTCTTTCACATTATTTTCGAATAATTTATTATTTTAGAGATTAATTTAATTTATAAAGAGTGAATGTAGTATTAGAATTTATAATATTTAAATTTTCGTTTTTATTTGTTGATGTTTATAGCTATTAGTCAAGGAGGGTGACTAAACTGTTTATATTTGTGCCTTTGCAGAGGGGCGTGAATGTGTGAACTGTGGTGCGACGTCGACCCCCCTGTGGCGAAGGGACGGTACTGGTCATTATTTGTGCAATGCTTGCGGACTTTACCACAAAATGAACGGTCAAAACAGACCACTCATCAAACCCAAGAGAAGATTGGTGAGTCTATAGATATTGTATACGATACTTTTTAGAATAAACTAGTGTACAATTGTTATATTTAAAAAAAAAATGGACACCTTCATTTCATAAACGTAATAGAATTTAACCCTATCAAGAGTTTTTATATAGTCGAAATATAGGTTTGTAGACGTGTTTCGTGCTCGAGAACGACACTAAACTAATCGGAGATAAGGAATAAAAGTAACGTCGAGGAAATTGCCAGTAAACAAAAATTTGTTTTATTGTGCAATTTAACAAAATGACAATGGAGAGATGGTGTACGAAGTCCAGACTAGATGACGACCAAAAACTGACCCCCTCTGAATTCCAGACGCCAATGACAGTTCGGGAGATTTGGGAGTAAACACGTCTGGTATTTGGCGATTCTGCGATGTACAGTCTATTTCGTTTTCCCCTCCCGAATGTCCTAAGGGAAATGGACCGATCTCTTCCACTCTCCCAGTGCGACACTTTCTAAGAAGGTGTGGCGTCACGGTGTCGCGAGCATCGCCACGAAACAATTATAAATTAATATAAATGATTTGGCTCTTGTAATGGATCCAGATAAATACAATTTCGCCAAAGTTTGGCACTGATAAAATGACTTTAAACCGGGTTTAATGAAGTTTAGAAACTAATTTTTTCCTTTATGGAATCTCCTAAGATCATTCGAAAAATACGGAATTACGAGAAATGTCGAGTTTTTCTAACCATCTCGTGTTTCAATATCTATCTTCTGATTTATGTTAGTAACGGAGTGAACAGACGTGGCTATAACGATAGGAGGATACATTAATCTACTAGCATAGAGTAAACTGTTGTTAACGGAAAAGCTATAGATTAGAGTGTTTTCGATTCGAACGTGATAGACTCGCATATGTGAGATTACAAAATTGAACGAGATTAGTCATCGCGCTTTCAAAATTGACGTTTCTCGATTACTTCAGCTTAAGTGCAGCTTCAAAGCGCGCCTGAAATAAACAAACTTAAAATCGATAATAAACTCTATAGGATCTCTTAGTTGTAAATGGATGGATGTTCTTAGGTAGTCTTGTATCGGTGAAGTAAACCATATATACCTACAGGACGTATTGGCCCCAAATCCTCTAAGCTTTCCTAAGGCTATTATTTCTTCCTTGACACCACAAATGTGGGTTCGGTTCAAAATGTCTTCATTTTCTAACACTTTTTAAAATGAACCCGTAGTTTTGGTGTTGGGGCGAACGAAGGATCAATGCCAAAATGCATCGATATTTTATAACTAAACGGTCTAACTATAATTAGAGATTTTAAATAATTTATTACGTATATATTTTTAATTAACAAATACGAAAATAAATAAGATACATAATTGAAATTTTCTTTGAATTATTTATTTCCCTTTTGCATTTTCCCTTTTATAATAAAGAGATTTCGATTATTATGGGATAAGTCACTGCAAATATTTTTTAATAGCCTTTATCTAAGGGTCTATGGCAACAAATCTTTCCGCTAAGGTGCCAGTCATCATAATCTACCTTAAAATGCCCCCGAAAGCCGCCCACTTCATCCTGCCATTAATATCTGTACCACAATTTCTTAGCCAAGCTACCATAGACGTGACGCAAAATACACACGTCACGCACAGCATACGTGACTACATGTGTACAGGAAACCATGGAAGAGAGACTGAGTGAGAAAAACAAAAACTAGCTTCTGGACAGGAAGTTTGGGGGGACTCTTCATCCCTGCGTGTATCGGCGACGAGTTGGACAGTAGCCTCCCAGGTGGGCATGGACTGAGCTATCACGCAAAGTGTACCGTGGGATCCGTTCGCATCACGTGCTTCGTGTCATTTGTCACGTTGCGTCACATCCGCCGCGTGACCTTTATTTTAACAGCGACCTCTAGTTTGATAATGGCGTGCGACCTCCCTTCCTACCGCATCAACTTGAGCGCACTCAATAACTTCTATAGTTGATTATTTTGTTTTTTGCTTTTTTTTTTTAAAAAAGAAAGACGTTGTAGTTTGCAATTAATTGAGATGATAAAGTGATTAGATTGTAGTATAGAAATCGTTAAAAGAACTGAATAATTCCCGAACTTTAAGTCTTAGATGAATAAACATATAATTATAAGTTTGAGTTTCGCATTAATTAATTGTGTTGAGCATAGTTTGAAGGACTTTCCCCGTAGCCCGCGTGTTGATAGCTCACCGGAAGCACTTCCGCCTCGACTGCGCACTCTCGTTGTACATTTCCGTTAAATAAATATCCGAGAATTAAATGCTACATTAATATTTAATTTAATTATTGTTAAAACTTTTAAAATATCACATTTTTTCTCTTATAATAGGGTGGTTGCATTCATGCGAATGCGAACGATTCGTTATTTCACACTTGGCTAAGTTTGAACATACAAAAAAGAACTTTTATAGACCACAATGGATATGCTATAAAACGACAATACCATACACGATTAAAAGGTGTGCCTTTTTTTCCGAAAACTTGGTCGATAAGAGTAAAAATTCTCTAAGAAATGATAAATGCAAAGAATCTCTATAAACTTGCACTGTATACACCTATTTGTATGTCCTATATAAAAGCTGTTTATGATCAATATTTTTAAAAGTTTATATATTGCATTTGTTACTATAAACTTTTACAGCGTTTTTATTAAAAAATTTTTATTTTTTATAGCCTATTCTTTTGTATAATTCATTGCACACGTTTACAAATTATGTTTAATAGTTTAATTATATATTAGTATAAATATCTTTTCACGCATTGATTATAAAACTAAATATATTAAATCACATCTTGATAACTAAGGTGTAAGAATAAAATCTGTATAAATTACTAAATGGTAAAGTTTTGAATCTCTTGAGATCTAGATACTTGAAGCATACTTGTTTAAGACAGTAGTTACAGTGTTCTAAAGAAGTGCTTTGCTTTCTAGCTACAAAATAACAATTGCTTCGACAGATAATAGTACTAGAATGTCATATCGAGACTTGTGATTACAATTTATGTGTTTAAACATCCATGACTGATACCGAGAAAGTTATAACAAGTTCTCATCCCTAGCAAACATTATTCATTAGATACATCTTAAGATAGCAATCGTTCATTGTTCTTGTAAAATTCTTTGAAGTTACCTTGTAAATTTCGTAGAATATAAGTTAATTTTGCTTAAAGGTACTTTACCAAGTCATACAACACAATATTTACAAAATTTTGAGCTAACTAACGAGCTTCCTCTACGAATAGACCTAAGTTAGAAAGAAATATTTATTTCGAGCAGATATTCTTTTTTAGTTTCTATGAAAATAGTGGAACGATATACGAAGGAACGAAACAAGACGTCGATCGGTATCTAGCAGGAAATCTCACCAGAGGGAGGCCGTTTCCTGTTCACAGACGCGTGAGGTGACAAAGGCTTCTAATTAAACACATCATTAAGTCGATTTAATGAACCTTGTTTGTCTGATAGGAAGGCAACACCCGAAACTGAGTTAACTGAAATAGAGGGAAATTGTGGCCAGAAGCCTTATTATCACGTGACCAAAAAAAAATAAACGATCCGGATATGTGAAAATGGATCCTGTTTTATGTGGGTACAATTTGTCTATCCCTCTTGGCATGATTTCGACTTTTTTTTTGTGTGTTTCCATTCCTTTTATATTTCAGGAGAGGTGAGAAAATTTTCACATCTCCATTGCAAATAATAGATAAAACGATGTTAGGTGAAGAAATGGCTCGGTTAGCCATTAGACTGGTCGTCCAACCCATGATTATAGAGCATCGGAGCTTGTTGTCCAACTGCTTGTTTGTCATTAGGCTGGTCTTCTGAGCACGAAAATCATTTTCAAATGATGTTGACGCGAGAGTGTCGATTCCTGGAATGACCCGCACTCTTTCACTAGAGTAGTCGTCTTTCCATTATCGCAATTCGTCCCCCTAAATTTTTATGTTAACCTCTGATCTCTTCGGACAAAATAATTTACAAGTCCATCAAAGGAGTCACTAAATTTGATTTACAAGAGTATATTAGGCTCGGATCGTGAGTTTTAAGTGATTTTTACAATGCAAATCATTGCTTTATTTACACTTTCGTTTTTCCCTAACTTTTTCTTTTATATTCAATAACTGTTTAGAATTTTCAAAAGAAAGATAATATCTTTCACGTCTGACAGAGCTCAAAATTCTTCTATAGAGGAACGACTGAGAAAAATACAATACTTAAACTATTTTAACTCAAAGAACTCAATTCTGCGCTGGCAAAGAATGTAAAAAATTCCTCCTATTCTTATATTTATGAAAAAATTTCTCTCTTATTTAAATTAAAAATTTAATATTTTAAGTCAGAATCATAGTTGCATAAATAAATTTAAAATAACTTTGACTTTATAATTTAATATTTTCAACTAGTAAATTATTAGTTTCTTACATAATGTATAGTCTATACATATAAAAAAACACTAAAAAATGTTCGTGGGTTGTAGTCTTATGCTTGACAAATTTAATATATGTTACATATAACATATTTTTTTTCCTTTTTCAACTGACAAAAAAGTATTGACGAAGATTAATTTTAACTCTTGCCAATTAAGTGATCCGGCTCGGTAATTGAAAGATTGGTAAGTCGATAGGCCCACGTCTATTTCTTTGGTCTCCCTGCAGGTACAATAGCCTTTAAATATAAACATGGAAAACAAAATTAGAATTGGATCCGTGATTGCTGTTCCCACTACGACCGCACGCAGCGCTAACAGTGGAAAAAAGTGGAACAATCGTCGGTCTTTTTCTCTTCCTAAATAAATCGTAATTTTTTAAATATATTTTTTATTTTTATTTTTCTTTAATTTAAAACTTCACTTATTAAAATTTATATTGTTAAATGTATTCTAGATTATTTTGGATTTTTTTAAGAAAAAAAAAGTAAATAGGCCTATATAAGCTTATTTATATCGATATTAGCAGTCTACCAATTAAATACTTTGTTGATAATAACGCAAT